GACAAACGTAACCTTAACACAGAAGCTTTACTTTAGATAAATAAACCTATTTTAACAGGATGGTATTATGGTCTCACTGTGAACGTTTTGAAGAGCACCCAGAACACTCTTATCTACGTGTAATTAACATATTAAAAAAAAATATTAAAAAAAAATGTTCTTAGTCGTGTACTGTAGGAAATGGATTTAATTCTTTCCCTTTATGAGCCGTTATGAGCCGTAAATTGCAATCCTCTAAACCTTATATTAGTATCAACAACTCAATTCTCAATGTATATGTATTTTGAGCATCCTATTCTGCATACAATATTAAAGCGCATATAAAGCTATATTGAAGATGTGATATTAAAGACGCATCTAAAGCAGAGGGTCGTGGTAGCGTTGAGGGATAACTTCTGCCGTCCCATAAAGCGTACAAAGTATTTCAAATTCGACTTTTTTTTATTTAAAAAGGGCTTAACATTGAAGAGTAAATTATACTGTAAAATATTAATAACAATTGTTTTCAAAAATAGTTTTAAATATCTTTTGTCAATTGAAGAATAATTATCACAGTTATTGATTGTTATTAGGCAACAAATTATTTATTCTTATAAACATCTTTCTTGGGCTTTTAAAAATGTCATTATAAACAAAATATAACATATTGCATACTGGAATAAAATACCTAATAACGTTTAAGGAATTCCGTAGTTTAAAACACGGAGTTTGGTATGGTAAAAGTTAAACAGTTGAAAACTGGTAGCCTTCATGACCAAACAATTAGATAAAACCATTGACTATTGGATACTGAAGATAAAACATAGAATAACTCTACGCAAATACTGTATTAACATTCAGCGTCAATATAAATACCATTTCCAACACAAAGATAAGAAATATATCATAAATCGATCGATTTGGCAAACTGTCCACATAGGGAATAGGGTCTCATAGTAAGACCTGGTCCCGGGACCGATTTAATTTTCCCTTTGGTGGCCAAAGACCAAAAAAACCATCAGTTGAAATTCATATATGCTTTTAAGACGATAACTCGAGCAAGAGTCATCCGATTTTGATTAAAATTGGTAGAAACGTGTCAACCCATATTTATTTCAACGAGATCACGAACCAGCATTTTCGGACAGTACGAACGGGGTTTTATAGAGTGTGTGATGAGAACAAAATTTGAGTTTTACCATTTTTACTCTCTAAAACAAAAAGATTAACAGTTTCTTTCTAAAGTATTTTTATAGCTTAAAAACAAATAATTTAGTAGGCTACGTGAAAGTTTTCTTGTATATTAAATGGCTACGGAGAAAATTCCATAAAACTGTAAATGTAAAAATTCCCATGTTATTATTATATTATGAAGTTCCGTTAACTGATGTACTTTGCATTTTTATAAATTTATTCTAAACACAATTGAGTTGATGGTTTGTTTCATTTTAAGCTTTATAATTTCACTAAAACACACCTTAATACCTTCCCTGTTGCAGCAATCCTAATAGCTTAACCTAATTTTAATATATTTAAATAGGCAATAAATCCATATTTAAGACATTATGTGAAAATCCAACAAGGCAAATGGAAATTAGCTTAATCTGGAAGTGTTCTAAGTTGGGGGTATTACTTTGTTGAAATGGTTTTTATGTTGGTACAGTTTTAAAATTACGAGAAATAATTAGTTTAAATGAAAACTGTACCCTACATATTCAGTACAGAAATTCAGCAGAAAGATTTTAAATCCATAAAGGGCTGTGTGATGTTGACGACCGTATACAAAACTTTCTTCTTCAAAATGTGCAAAAAACTGGTAATTTGAGCGAAAAAATCTGTAATTAACTAATTGAAAAACCGCACCTGTTATTAATAATTTTGACCAGTAGGTACACAACGGGTTTCATGAAGTAGGAATATATTATATCCAATTTAACAAAATTGCTCCTATTCATCAATTGTTTGGTGTAAAATAGTGGAAACATAATAAACAAAAAAGAGTGAAAAGGACGAAATGTTTTAAAACAAAAACCATAATCGGTAAAAATATAAATAATTTGATTGGAACCATTTTCAGTAACAGTTTCTTTAAATAACGGTTGGAACTATCTATGCGTAAAAAATCCAACAGAAATGACATTATACGATATAAATGACTGACAACCCAAAAATATATTTCATTAGATTCGGGTTTCGTAATCAGACGCTTTTTGTGATTGAAAAAGTTATTATTAATAGGCTAAAAATGAATATTTGTACTAAAAATACAATAAAAATTATCAATATTATACTTCAATATGTTAATCATTATTATTTGGAAAATTGGTAACACTTTTGTTTATGGATGAACAAATATTCAATAAATTAACTGTATGGCAATTAAATCTTCAAACTGATAGCTGGAAGATGTAAAGACGACAAAATAAAAATTGTATTAATTGAAATCAGTACAGATTTAATAATGGATTTTAAAATATTACCTATTACATTTCACATGATGGAAATACTTTAAAACTAGTTAATCGATTTGTTATGCCCGTCAAAATTATATCCCACTGAAGATAATTAAACTAATTTACATTATGAATTATACATTACTTATCAAACTGTTACTATCCGATATTTTTAATACCGTTCAACATAACAGTGAACAACTATCAGTGTGGATATAATAATTCTATTCGTTTATGGTTATCACGTCTTCTCTTTATAAAAGAATCCCATTTATAATATTAATAAGATTGTTATATTTTTTGGACATTTGTATCACAACCCTTTTAAACTACCAAGAGAAAAAGTAAAAACTGTGTCAATGATTTAAATTTTATTAATTCAATTTACGATTCAAATTTCTATAAAAATTTATATTAAATATTTGTCTACAGTATAATTTTACAATAACCCATTTGTGATTAAACATTGCATGAACAATTAACTTACCAATATCTGACTAAAAATTAATATTTTTACAACCCTCCTCCACAATAGTGCCCAAAACTGCCTTGGCTGCTATAAATAATTGTGGTGACAGTTACTTCAACCAAACACTAATTAAACACTTCAAATAATATGTTTTTACTGCATAATATTTCCAATGTAGTGAATAAACCTGTCATTTTTATATGATTGTGATTGAAAATTCTTCCATTTGTTTTGATTTTCTGGTAATGAAATTAAATGAAATAATATTTTATTTCCCATTAATTATATACATATTTATATTTCGTTGATATTTCGTCACCAGCATGGCAGCCCATAAGGCCCATGTTGATTATTTCAATTTTAAATTAATTAATTTCGTAGTTTCTTCTATTAAATTTCATTATAATAGACATTGACATCTGGATTTACTATAAAATATTGCATTATGAAGTCTTACTGATCTTAAACTACCAACTACCTAATCTACCATCTACTACTATCTAACCTTGCCAAAAAATTGTACAACTACGAACAAAAATAGAATATAGGCCTAAATAAAACTAAACTGTAAATAATATATCTAAAAAATTCAACAGAGTAGCGTGTCGTAATTTGATCGGCAACTTTAAAAAGTCCTGTATAGAATAGGGAGCTCATTCTTCTGATCTAAATGATCGTTATAATATAATCCAATAACCAAAATACAGTAATTACAAGCTGTCAATGATAACAACATTCCAATTACCATGCGATATAAAAATCATCAATATTGGTAACTAAGGACCTAAAAAATTTAGAACTTTACAAACTAAGAGTTTTTAATTTTGGAAATATAAAATCTTACAAGTAAAAACAATAAAACTATTTGACAAATTATTATTTATTCAATATCTATTCACGAGTGCAAAAAACACACTCTTATTACTGAATTTCAAAATTTTACTATATTTAAAATTATTATTTTACGAATTTATCTTACTAATATTATAAATGTGAAAGTTTGTGTTTTTGTTTGTTTGTTTGTTTGTTTGTTTGTGTGTTTGAAGTTCAATCACGCATAAACCACTGGACGGATTGGGCTGAAATTTGGCATGATGATGGCCTACATTCCCGATTAACATATAGGCATATTCTTATCTCAAAAATTCTTTCGGGCTCCGCCCCAGTAACTCTGTAATTCCCCATGTTAACCTTATGAGTATTCACATTTAAAGGGAATTAAAGAATTTAGTCAGCTGTTTCAACTAAAAAAGTTGGTTCTATGATATGGAAAAGCATTAAAAAGTTATAAGATTTACCAACAGGGTGCAGCACTATATTTTTTTGCATTTATGAAAACAGCTAATTTGAACTAAGCAGCAACAAAAAACTGTGATTCGCAATGAGAACTGTCAAAGTAGGATTGTTTACAGTTATGTTTATATTTTTCATTTCATGAATAATTTGTGATATTTTGCGAATTGTTGATAATTTATTTTTCTCTATTGTTTAGGTGAAGTGGTAGAACATTATGGCTATGGTAGATGTGTAATACTATAGAATACTGTAAATTTAAAAAAGCAAATTTTATCAAACTGTGTCCCTCCCTTATTGCAAACGCAAAGCTTGAGTATAACTGCAATAAGCATTTTATACTTATATTCCAACCCCGTACGAAAGACGGGTACTCTGCTAGTAGTTTATAAATTTACTAATTTACCCATCGACAATTTTGTAAATATTTAATCTTTCAAATTCATAATTTTACAAGTTATAAATTTTACGTTATAAATTTTACAAATATAAAATTTTACAAATTTATAATAAAAAATTAATATAAAAATTTATAATTTCAATAATTTTAAATTTTAAAACAAACATATAAATTCACAAATTTACAATTCCACAAATACAATTTTCAAAAATTTTCAAATAACACTTTAACAATTCACACTTACAATTTACTTTGCCAAATCACTCCCAAAAAACTCCCTCTCCACAATATTTAATTAGGGATAAAGAGGGCTGTGGATGAATGGAGCAGCTGGAGGCCCGGGGAAGCATGCGCGGCGAGCGTCTACCAGCAGCCATCTTGGAGCTGTCCCAGTATACCCAGAGTCGTGGTAGTGATGCGGTGTGCGGCGTGGTGATAGTGGTGATGTGTACTAGGAATACGCCCCCAACATGGAGTATGCCAGCTGAGACACCATAGATGACGGGAGGCGCTGCGTCACAAGGTGAGGTGATAAGGAGGGTGATAAGGGAGGTGATAAGGGAGGCGAGCACTGTGTTTGGGGATGAGGGTGAAGTTTGTGGTAAGGTGTTTAGGGTATTACGGGTTAGAGGGTAAAGTTGTGGAGGTAAGGGGTAGGAATTTGGGGGTGAATATTTGAGGGTACGGGTTGGGTTTTGAAGGTTTGTTGGGCACGAAAATAAATTTATAGAATGTAATTGTCGTTTTTGAGATACCCAATTTGTATTTGGGTTATGAGTGTTAGGTTTTTGGTGATTAAGTTGTGTTGGGTTGAGGGATGGAAGTGTGGTACGGGGGTAAAGTGCAAGGGCGGGGATAAGGAAATGTGTGGGCAAAGTGTTGGAGGTACGAAAGTAAGTTGCAGTAACGTTTTGAAGTTGTAAACATTGTTTTGGGTGTGGGAGTAAAATATCATAAACATCCCTTAGGGTGGTTTCAAAAAGGGAGTAAAACATTTTACTAAGTATACCAACATACATTATTCCATTTTACCACACAACGTACTCATCCGTAGTACTAAAAAACCTACGTAAACACCGGGACAAAAAAGTAAAAATGCAAACTCACCCCTACGTTAACAAAATGGAACAACGAACCGTGAAAACCAGAGCTATCAACTAACTGCTTGATTCATTTCAACAAACTATTCTACGATGGATAATCGATTGGTAAAAAGTGGAAAAACATTTAGAGACGTTTTCAAAGCAACCCTGTTTTGTAGCGGTGTTTTTATTTACATTTACACCTTGGGGATGCAATCGTTGGGCAACAGCTAGGACTTACCGCGCTTGCGTCGACGGGCGTGGGGGTGATTCATAATGGTGTTTTAAGCATGTAATTAATATGAATAACATAAATTTATAACTGATTGTGTGAATGTTTTAGGGATAAATAAATGTTTATCCAGAAACCTGTTTAAAATTTACCTCAAGTTAAGAACTCCCTGAATCGTATACTAATAATTAAATGTACATTAATCCACCCATAACTACTTTAACCAAAGTAATCCAATCTTAATAATCTAACATTTAATTACGAATAAAAATTTATTTTAACATTCTCACCAGTTTAAAATATCAATTACTAAAATTTGTGTAGCCTAATTAATCTATTATTACCACAACCACTTCACCGTACTAAAATAACCATTTAGTAATCCTGCTAAGATAACAAGATATCACACTTGAGATAAAAGTTTTCATAGATAACTGGTATAATCGTGATAATTCAATCGGTGATCGTGATTGTGATAGTAAAATCACAGCTTAAACTATTGCTAAAAGTGTTCATTTTATATTTAAATCTATTCGTGAGTTAAATGTATAATCTATTTTTTAGAAATATCTTATGTCGAGATGGAAAATGTTTTAAGTCTTGATCATATCTACTAAATGATAAACCATAAATTATCGTACTATATTGCTTTGAATTAGGCAATTATTCAACTAAAATTTAGTACGCATTCTTTCTAAATTATAAGTATTTATTACGTTATCTTCTCACATTTTCACACTGCCTTTGACTAGACATGAATAAACTCTTATCTACAATGTGCTCGGGAATGATTCATTCGACAGTTATGAGTAGTGGGCAGAGCGGAATGACATTTGTGTAGGCTAAGTCAGATACACAACACACTATAAATACCCCCGCCACCGCAAACCTATAGACTAAGCGAATTTCCATTTACCTGGCTGGATTTCTACTAAAATATTCCCTAAAAACTGTCTGATTTATTTCCTACTTAAATAACAATAGTTTTAGTAAGTTCTTAGGTTTGCTGCTACAGGGAAGATATTATTGAGAAGTGTTTTTTTTTAACTGCAATGTTGATAGATTAGTACGAAATAAACCAAATTTAGAAATTTCGTTAAAGTATATCCATAAACAAGCAAACTTTTTTTTCAAGCAGTTGATTTATTCTCCATAAGAATAACATGGGAATTTTAAATTTAAATTTTTTTTAACTATCTCCGTAACCGTTGGACATACAACAACGCTTCAATATACAAAATTATTTCTTATTTTAAGCTCTACAAAATGGTTTGGAGAGAAATTGCGAATTTCTTTGTTTTTTGGATCAAAAATGGGAAAACCCAGTTTTTACCCCATAAAACCCCCCATTAACCCCCGTTCCCATAGTCTGATCATGCTGGTTCGCAAACTCGTTCGAATGTAGGTTTACACGTTTATACCAAATTTTATCAAAATCGGATCATTTCGGGGGGGGGGGGGCAGTCTTCCGGCGAACCCTTTATTTAAAAGGCATGTTTGACTTGTAAATGTAGACTAAATAAAATAAAATAAATTTGGTCATTTTGATGATGAATTTGTACATGCCAGTTTTTAGTCGAGGAAATAGGAAAAAAACATTACATTTTGTCGCTAATCGCCTATTGGATCTGATGATGATTGGAGTGTCCAATCGAAATCGATCACCACTTACCATCTTTTGTATATTTACCGTCTTTGTGAGTCACAGTATAAGCGTAAATATATGTTTGAAGTGTTATAAGACGTATCTTTATTTACTTTCCGTATTTTGTCGCTAAACCCAATATAGTTTAAGAGGTGACAAATGCTACAATTTAACGTGTATTAGTTAGTAAAAAAAAAAAAAAAAAAAAAAAAAAAAAAAAAAACTAATAAGAATAACTGCTCCAAAAACAGCAGTTTATAATCAAAAATTTTAAAGCAGCTGATTAAACTATTTTAAAATGATACACAATAAAAGGATATATAGTTAATATGCAAACTAATCTAAAAGATAAATATGAGATAAAATCAATCATTTATTTATAACGCAAAAATATCAATAACCGATAGATTTTGGCAGCTATTCACTAAAGTCGAACTATGCTAGACTAATTATATAGAAAGATAATACTAAATATATAATTATTACAATAGGCTACTCATATTTAACTGCACGTGCTGTTTTCACAATATTGTTTTCACATTCCTGTATTTAAAGCAAAAAGACTAATTATTTTAGTCAATAAAATAAAATACGTTTAAAATCAAAAGTTTAAGGATACTATGTCTAACACTTATTACATTTTTTTTACAATTTTAGGTTTTTTTATAGTACTGATGAAAATCCAACTGTAATTAATGATTGTTAACAAATAATAATTAGTAGCCTATCCTATAATACAATTATCTAATTTGATCGCACATTTATCTATTTGCGTTTTTTTATATCTGTACTAAGAAAGCAAAACATAAAACATTTTTTAAACCCAATTAAACAAGTGCTTTTACAAAATTAATATAAACATATTCTGAGAAATCTTAGAACGGAAGCTATTTTGTAATATACCACGGAGCCAGTTGGCCATCCAATGATCGATTTACAGGTAGTCTGCTTCACAGTGCTAAAGTGCTTGTGACACAATAACAAGGCCAGCACCACTATCGTATTGATACTTCCCGAATGTTTAACTCGATAGCATACAGATCAGGGTTTGGACCGTTCCCTGTGAAATTATAAAATTAACAACAGAAAAAGTGTGTATAGTTTGATTAACACAGACATTTTCGTGTGTTATATCTCCTACATTTCATTTTTTTATTTTTACTTATATATTTTGCTCAACGCAAACACTATTTACGCGTATCGTCAATGTTTTAATTACTAAAAATCACCGCTCATATTAAGAGGTTATGTTTTCGTTTATAACATCTCATTAACACTGACAGTGATGCAACGAAACATTGTACCAAACACTAATTGCACCACTGAACAATTAAATTGGCCTGAACAGCTGATTAGTTGAAGTTCGAATCATTACAATTTTACTTCTTCTCTCTCAATCCTTGAACCTCATTAGTCCGTTACCCGTGTTGTTATGAGTAAAACTATGCTGTTATGTAAACAATGCTGTTATGTGAAACTTTTCAATTCTAAGAACTGAAATGAAACTGAAAAGGGTCGTAGGTAAACATATTAGTCTGAAACACTGCTACCCTAATACTCACAATGTTATCCTGATACTTAAATTGTCAGCCTGATAGTCTTAATGTTGTCTTCATACTGACGATGTTGCATGCCGTTAACAATATTAGTCTAATACACTGCTGCCCTAATACTCACAATGTTAGTCTGATACTCACAATCTCATACTCACTATGTTAACCTGATATCCACTATGTTAGATGGCAATATTACTTTCAATATCATCCTGATACTTACAATGTTAGCCTGATACTCACAATATCATACTCACCATGTTAGCCTGATATCCCTTATGTTAGATGGTGATGTTACTTTCAATATCATCCTGATACAATGTTAGCCTGATACTCACAATATTAACCAGGTACTCACAATATTAACCAGATACTTTGAAATGTCATTCACCTTAATTTGAATCAATATTTCCGCATCCCGTCCTTGTCTGCTTGTGAAACCATCAGCACATGTTAAATGCTGAAGTTTTCAGTACAACTTTTTTCTTCGAATTAAAAAATGGGTCAATGGTAAAACTTTATATTTGTGTATTATATCACGATAACATGTTAAGAATGTGTAATAAATAATAATGTGAGTTTGAGTAATATCTATGATTTTAAATATTTTAAGTAGACTTCTATTGACAAATATTAAGCCTTAATTTTTAATGTGAGTTTTCATATTTAAAACGTGTAGATTGTTGACTAAGTTTTTGTTTTGTTTTAATGGATGCATTTTACTGTCTGTGCTTAAAAATTTAAATATAACAACAGATGAAAGGCTGTAGCTTATTATTCATTCTATTTTACACATATGTTAATAATCAGCTGATCACTTAATTGTTTCGTTTCAGCTGTTAATTTAGTTCAATAGCATTGCGAATGCTTTGTGTTTGTCACATTGTTCAATTATATTAGACTTCTATTCTATCAAAAGTGGAAGAGTCTCAACATGGGGTTTTAAAGCTGCAACTGTAATGTGCAGGTCAAATACCTCATAACAGCTGATGCAACAGTCACTCACATTGC